TGAGTTGATAGTCAAGACACTTTGAAAGGGCTTAATTTCAGGTCTTTGTGGATGGATCAGGGGAGGAAAGGATACTGTGCAGGGACTTTAGTGAGAACGATATTTCAAAACTTACAAAATGTTAGGGAATATTCTCCTTTCAGATTTTATTTTCTGACTCATACTAATCAAAACAATCACAACAATCAGAACAGATTGCAATGAAATTCCAGGAGATCTGGAATGAAACCAAAATCCATCGGCACATCTATTGTCTGCTCCAAATCCCACAGACCCAAGTTTGAAAAGTGTTTGACAGTTCAGAGGTAAGTTATCTGACTTTCAGAGGATCTATACAATTGCAACTCCATTTGATTCAAAGATTAATTCTCTAATTTTAATAAAGCTAGAGGGTCTTTATGCGCTGACCTGGAAGTTAAGGATTGGTCTCAGTTTGGTCTCTTTTCATTGCTTTGAGGGAAAGTTCATAGCCAAGAAACATGGCTGAACTCATTGGGAATCCTCGCACTGCATTGACCGTGATGCCCCTAAAAAAGACCTGTTGGGGATGGAGAAAGGTTAGAGCATAGGAATATACTGGCTACTTTAAGAAGAAGAAGAAAACATTGAACGAAGTCATGGTGGGATTCTGAAGAACCAAATCTTGGTTTGCTCAGGAGATAATGTTCTCACTGCTGTTTTTTGCTGAAGTCTGTGCTGGAGAATGGAAGTACAATGGCAAAAGTCACTGGTTTGGTATCATTGTGCTCCATGCTCCCTATGGACCCCCCTCTGTATCTGCCAGCAAGAGCTACCAGAGGTAAAGGGTAAAAAATGGCCTCATGCCACCGGTGTAGAGCAGAAAGCAAGAAATCTAAAACATCTTCCAGTGTCCTACCTAGCTACGGGTCCTCCCTCCTGTTGCATACATAAGTGTGCGAGGATCATGCAAACCCCAGGGTACAACAAGGAGGCTGTTGCTTTCATGCAGCAAATGCTCTGACTCCCGCGCCTGGGTCTATGGGTGCAGAAGACATTTGGGAAGCGGAGAGGGAGCGGTGCCGACACGGGCACTGTGCCACGTGGACTCTTTTGCTGGTTTCACCTCTGAGCAGAGAAACAATTTCTTAATCAGCAGAAAACTAGGCTTACTCTGTACCTTGCTGAGAACTAGCTCTCACCATTGGCTTTGGAAAAATACTCAATAGAAGCTGGTATTTTCACATGTGGGTTCCTAAGGTCAAGCTTTGGTGCTCATACATATCCCAGAGTTTTCTTTCATTAAGATAATAAATAGAATTTATACAGCCAGACTTCCCCATTCTGCTCAATATATATTTTTTGAAAAGATGCTGGCACTTAAAAGCGTGAAAGACCCTGCGGCTTTTAAGTGCTTGAAGAGTAAAGTGCTATTTGAAAGTGGAGAAGGGGCCCTTGTCACGCCTGGCGTTGGCTTGTCTCCCTCCGAAACCCCCCTCGCTACAAACACTGCTGCCTGGTGTGTGCAAGGGCGTGCACAAGCCACCCGCTCTGGGGTGAGCCTATTTACAAAATGGTGATTGCAGGGAGCATCTCTGCTGGCCTGTTTCCCACAAAATCACTCCGTTAACCACCCAGGCTAATCACTGTGGTCACTAAGCTAAACACCGCAAGTTCAGAATAGACACGAAAAGTAACATCAGCAAAGTAAGCCCCGTCCCAGGCTTTACAAAGGCAAAGCTCCCACAGCTACTGTGAGAAAGCGTGGAAAATCTTGGCTGCAAGACCAGAAGCCCATAGATTTAAGTGTCTAACCAGTATTTTCCCTGAAATACTGAGCTCTGCTAAACACGACTTGTGTCTTGTATCCAATAAATCCAGTGCATGGTGCTGACTTGTATTGGACAGAATCAAAACATCTTCACATTGTTTAGGATAGAGTTTGCAATGTGAAATTGCAATGTTGGGATATTTAGGATATTTCTTGATTTATTGGGGTGTTTTCTTTTGCTATCTTTCCTTTTCTTAGGAAAGATAGAATTTTCTGGGAAGAAATTCAAATTTTTGCAGTATCCATAAAGTAACATGAGAGAGCCATGTTAAATAATAATGAAGATTTATGAAGAAAAGCCCAGAGGCATAAATTTTTCTCATCAGAATGAACACACCTGACTATGGAGAAAGGAAAGGGCTGTATTTACATTTCTTTGTGTACACCAGGCTATTATTTTCAGCACTGCGAATGCTGTTCCTTTGTCCCAGAAGGAGAACATCCAGAGCTGGGTTTGCCGTTTATCACTTCTGTCTCCCAACATATAAAAAGATTTTCCTTACGAGAGAAGGATCTAGTCTTGTCATCAACTGTTACTTAATCCTATTGCTGGCTTTGGTCCGGGTGCCAGGTACGATAGCAGAAAAACTGCAAGCAGCTCAGACCTCAAACGAAAAAACCTAAGTGCCTGAAGGAGTTGTTAACACTCAGGCAGGACGAGGAGTGGAGGGGGTGAGGATGAGGATGGAGAGAGAAGGGAAAACACATGGCCACCCTATGTTTTACTGTGAAACTGCATGCCAAGCTGAACGCGCAGGGCAGGTGGTCTGTGCAGAGCCCGGGGCACCCCGACCCTCCTCTGACCACCCGAGCGTGGTCTTCAGCGTCTCTCCAGGTGCCTGTCCTTCATGTGACTGTGACTGTCCACTCAATGGCAAAGAACGAACCAGAGTGCAGGCTCCTGTGACACTGGCATAACGTAGTGGCGTGTTGGCAGATGTTTAAATCACACTGAGCTGTGATTTTGCAGGTTATTTTTCTTTTTGTAACTTGTAACTTCTCCCTCAGAATGTGAAAATTAACACTTTGGAGCTAAGAGCCCACAAGATGTTTTGATGACAACTTAAATACAGATTTATTTCAGTATCAGAAGACGTTGCTTCTTGTAACCATGCATTGGCAGTGCAATAAAGCTGCAAACCCTGGTCCTCTGCCTTTCACCTTTCACTGAGGCAAAGTTTGCAGGTAGAACAAACAACTTTTATTACACTAATAGATGAAGTCAGAAAAAGGGGATAAGTTTTTTTTGGCATGGAGTCCTTCTTCGCATTTGAAGCCGAAGCAATTCTGATTTAAGATTATTTTCAATCTACTCTGTCTTGGTGCAAAATGAGGGTGGGCAGTGCAAACTGCAGCATCAGTTCCCCCAAAGCATTGCCCAAGGCAACCAAACGCACCCGGGGTGCCAACGCGGTCCCACTGGAATCAGTTCCCATTGACTTCGGTGTCAATGGGAAACATTTGATCTCTGCATTTTGTAGAAGCAATCACAGAGGCAAGATTTTCTACCTCTGATTTACGATAAGTCAAATCATATTCACAATTAAATGCACTGACATGAAGTGTTATTTTAAGTTAATTACACCAGCAGACTGTGACCCCCAGTCATTCATTTTTTCATTGCTGTAAGGCACATTATTACTCTCACTATTATGAGTTAGAAAGAATCTGCACTATAATTACCTACTGTTATTATTATAATTTAGCAGTAACTGGCTTTAGCTGTCTCTCAACCCTGCAGATAGGCTTGTGACAGCCATGGTATTTTCCAATTGAAAATTAAATGCCGAATACCCAGATTTTACTTCAAATAGTACTTACTTTTAAGCCCTCGTTCTGATAGCTCTGCAAGATACAGTCAAGGGTCCCTTTGTACTTGTTTAAATAAACTCCATCTGCCTGAAGTCGACTTTTCACAACATCCATTGGAGTAGCAGTCCCCCAGGAAATGGCTCCTAGAAAAATGCAGAAGTGGTTGACCAATTTCTTCTCAATTTTTCCTTGGCCACAGGTCAGTGAACTCAGAAATTCATCTCTCATCTACCACATCATATTTATGGGATTTTCATTTCAGGGCATTCACCCTGCTCAGGAACAGGAATGGTATTTCTGGGAGCAAAGTTCCCTGTTTCTGGAAGAAGCATTGAGATTTTGGGGGTTATGCTGGTAATCAAATGCAGGCAGCCCAGGAGGTGCTCCCCCAGGTGCAAACACGTCTTCTGCCATGCTTCTGGTGGAACATGGACATGCCGTGGGAAGAGCCCGAGCTGCAGGGAGCTGCCGCTTGGGGCAATTTCAGAAAAACTGGACTCCTCAGTGGAAAAGCAAAGTTTGAGCTGAGAATGCAAGTAAGAGGCTCATGCAACCAGGATTAGGCTCCACGCAGCTGAGATGCATCGTCATTCCATCTATTTACATTGATTAGCCTGCAGCTGAGTGGGATGTTTTGCCTCTCTGAAAAGGTCAGCATGTGACAGCAATACATGGCCCAGTTGGACAGACAAGGGTTTGTTTGGACCTACGTGAGTGTTGGGGCATACTAGAGAAGCTGTGCAAATGGGCCAGGGCTTTGTTTATTTGCAAGAGAAACAGAGAGAGCATTTTGTAATCATTACCTGAGCTAAGGATTGACTTGCATTTAGGGGTCTGCAATGTTAGAAATGGCCAAGAAATGGGGAGTGGCTGTAGGGGTGGCCTTACACATGTAAGCATGGGGGGGGGACGCACATGCCGCTCTTACTGTACACTGGAAAAAAAGAAAGAGAAGATCAATAACAGTCAACTCTGCTTCTGCTGCGTGCTGGTAGGGTGCACACCCTCCTGCTGGGCAGCCAACAGGTTGAAGTCCTTTTCTGGAGGCATCTTGGCTGCCGCGTATCACTTGCAATGAGATACGCAGGCTGCCGTGAGACATCCAGGGAGATGAAGGCGCTGGCTGTTTTCCTTCTCGCTGACATTGAGCCTGATGAAGATCTGATAACATGACTTCCATAAAGTTTGTCAAGTCATAAAGCGCAGCCGTGGTGCCAGGGGACCTGGCCCTGGGGGAGGAAGGTCGTTCAGCCCCATGTCCTCTCCTAGAGGCCAGGAGGATGTGGTGGCCCCTGAGCCACCCCTGGGAACCTTCCTGTCCTTGTTTTGCCAGCGTTGTGGGAAAAAAAGGTGCTTACCTGCTATACCCCCTGCCAGCCAGATGGAGGAGGGATTAGGGGAAATGCATCCGTCAGGGGTAATCCATCCACAGAAAAATGTGTAAGGGATGAAATAGAGGCAGTACCCAGGAACATCCCTCAGAAGCATTGCTCCCGCACCTCGGTATATTCCTGCTATCCCCTCTTTCTGTAGGACTGTCCTAAAGCAGTGAATTGGGCCTCGGTACACGGGAAATCCAGGAACTGTGGGCTTTAGTTTAATGTTTGCTGCAAAAAAAGATACAACTGTTATAATAGCTATATTGCTACAGAACTTCTCTCAAAAGCCTACTGCCACCGCACAAACAGAAATCACTGCCATCCATTTTCTTTTGCTGGGATCAATATGTAGTGTGGGAAAAAACGTTTTAAGAAAGAGGACTTGGGTCCATTTTTAAAAGATGTTTAGACACTTCAGGACAGATTTTTCTTAGATGCATTTCATGCCTCCCAATAGGTATGTGCCCAGTGAGATTTCCAAATGAGTTTAAGGCTATGTGCCTAATTTTCATGGATTTTAACCACATCTGGTGCCAGTCTGCATCTTTGAAAGCCTTGGCATCTTCAGAGTCTGGCCCTTCTGATGTAGAGGACTGAGCTGCTTTTGGAAAGGACGTTAGGTTGCTAAGCTGCACGGAAGCTTTTAAAAATGGACGTAATATTATTTTATCAAACCAATACAAAAATGTTGAGCACCGCAACTGTAATCATGAGAAAGGTGTTTGTGAAAGTGCTGAAATCCAAGCTGTTGGGCTCTGAAGCTGCGCTGTCTCTTCCTTCGGCTGTGGATGTGCTCCGGTGGGGTTTGCTCCGCGCTGGCAGCCTGTGACAAAATTCAGCTGAAGCAGCTCCTTCTGCCCGCAGCTTCGGGAGAGGCTACAGCTGCCGGTGTCCCCTCCTGCCCCGTCTTGCCTGCGCCTGGGGACCTGTAACCCTGCCCTGAATAAGCCAGCGGCTTTCAAATGTACATGTGAAATTTTTGCTTTTGAACAGAGGAGGGTGGAATAACAGAGAGGGATTTATGGGCAAATATACGTGGGACTGAGAGCGTGCAGCAGGAGATGGGGAGCTGGCATTACTGCTGCTGGGATCTGCAGGGGACCCGACAGCCCGGGGACTCACTGTTCCTGCCCCAGGCTCGCGCGGCTCCTGCTCCTGACCAGACCTGCCCCTGTGTTCGTTATAGATCGCAATTGCTGGAAATGCCAGCAGAGATCTGATCAATGTCATTGATAAAAACCTTCCCCTTGAGCTGAGCAGGTTGGGGTCCATCCTGAGGCAGAAGGAAGCATTTTTAGCTCAAGGCAGCAGAGAGCAGGGTCTTAAAGCAAAGTTGCCCTAAAGCTCTCGGTAAACACCGAGAACTGACAGAGAAAGGAAAAAGAAACTCTTGCTTCCTACCTTCAATGTACGGCTGCGTTTGCATCTGTAGCCTTATCTTTACCAGGTCGACAGGAGTGCCGATGCCCACGGAGATGAACCCTGCCACCATGCTGGCCAGAGCCACGTCGGCGAGCGCCGGCGCGCGAGCTGGCTCTCCGTGGCGGAGCTGGCTGAGGAGCCGCTGCGTGTTGCTGAAGACGCCAAACACCACGGAGCTGTAGACGGCGATGCTGGCCAGCGGGAAGGACATGCCTTTGAAGAAGCCGGCCACCTACCCGGGGAAGGGAGCAGGAGTTAACGGGACTGAGCGGAGTAAAGCCCAACTTGCCTATCAGGGCAGAAATGCAAATCCAATTACCAGATGTCTCCTGGAACCATTCGTACATGCTGAGCAAATGAAAATTAATTCATGCTGCTGAAGACTTGTAAAGGTTGTGCAGAATACAGGATATGCTGAAAGCACAGGAACCCATGTAAATGTCCCTCTTATGGCCAGCTTCTGTCCTGGCATCACCAAAGTCAGCAAAATACCTGCGGTAGAGCTTTGCCAGCAGGTACAGGGAAAAGAGCCATTGTGGATGTAACACCCTGACCCATGCGGAGACACGGGGAATGTCATTTATCACTCCCTGGCAGGGATCTCTCTTTTCCCTATAGCAGTAACCAAGAGAATTACCTTCGAGTTAGCAAGAGAAGGCTGTAGGAATTTGCAGTCTCAATTGCACCAACTTTATTGGTCTTCATATAACTGCTGGTGTCAACAGTGATTTTGTATAATTCATCTATTTATCTATTTGCATTTTCTACCAGCACATTTTAAGATAAAGTACTTACAGACTCATTTCTGTACACAGTGAGAACACAGTTGAGTGTATTTCCATATCCTTGTCCAGCTTGCAAACGAGTCTGCAAAAGACATTCATGAAATGCGATTAAAATCCCATGCTTCCAGCCCAGTGAAAGCTCATGCTACGTAAACAATGTGTACTTTGCTTTGAGAGCAAATCCTTCCTCAGTTGTAAAGAAAACAGAGCCATAAAATGAGATATACATGCATCCACCCCCCTTGAACTTTGCCAGAAGCAGGGCTAAACGGAACCTCAGAGGTCTGAAGCTTTCTGCAACATCTGGAATCGATGACTGTCAAATTGCTCTCGAGTCCAGACCAGCTACCCTGGCCGGACACAGTGCTGGCAGCAGCGTGCTGGTGCGCAGTGCTGTCGTTGGCAAGGTCCTGATTTATGTGGAAACTGGAGAGTGATGTGGTCTCCTCCGTGTGGGGACTCTCGGTGGAGGTTGGGATGCGTTGCTTAAGGGTGGAGAGGAGAGCTCCCCTGGGAGGCTTCCGGGGCCCTTCTGATCCAAGGTGGATTTTAAGACACAGAAATACTAAATGGAGCCAAAATAATTCGGCTCCATCTCAGAAGTTCTCCATGCTTCACTCAAAAATACATTTTTACATCATTTCTAACAAAGACATTTCATTTCTGGAAAGCAATGGTTATACCCCTTCCAAAAGATGCCTACAACTGCTGTAAGAAAGGGCATGTAAATCATGACAAAGTCTGTGTGCTTCGACATGCTTTCTCCTTTTCACATATATATAAATATATATATACATGCACACACGTATTTAGATCATCTTTTCATTCAAGCTACTCACAAGTTTGCAATAAAAAAGTCCTAATAAGTTATGCATTTTGGGGACTTAAAGGTGTGGGAGGAAATGGAAACTCTGGAAAGCAGGACCTGGGGCTTCAGCAATTAATCTTGGCTGGGGCCAAAGCTCATTTTTTTATAGGAGGACACTCACCCGTGCTCTATCAGGGATGTTTTTAGGGAATGGGGACAGCATTTCTGGTCGTATCCATCAGCATTGCTGCTAGCAG